CCCCCCGTAAAACAACAACAAAGAAATGAGATTGCGTGTGCTCTGTGCTGTTTACTGTTGTGTTTGTACTTCACACTCTCTTTTCACTGTATATTTGGTTCTCTTTGTTTTAATCAGTCCAACAAAGTGTTTTATAACAGTTTTACAATTTCTTTTTGACAGATTCGTCAGCTATATTTAATAGACTTGGAGATGGGCCGCACAGTTTGTAAGAAAAATGATGAAGACATTGACAATTGCCCATTACAGCAAGGCCCAGGAGAGAAAAGGGTTTGATATTAAATAAACCTCAACTATCATCAATCTTTTGGGAATAAAAAATTATAATTAAGCAAGGCCTGGGAGGGAAGATGTAGGGTGATCCGGGCAGACTGAAGCTGTCTTATCCCTTGTATAGCACATCTCAGAACTCCCTTGGTGGAAGCCGAAGGGACCATCTTAAGCAGACAGAGTCTGACTCCCAGCACTAGGGCAGCCATCTGCTCATAGCCCAGGTGGCCCAGGCAACCTGTGGCCTTCATGTGTGATAAAGCCATCTTTCTGGTCCAAGCCCTGTGCTTTCTGAGACCTTTGAGGTTCAGGAAGGTAATGCTTTCCCTATGGGTTACAGGCTTCCTTTGTTCATGGCTTAGGGCATTGGGAACTATTTAGTTTATCTGCTCACCAAGGTTTTCCCTCTTTGGACTTTAAGGATGATTCTTGGTGACAACATTGTGCTATAGCTAACATGTGCTCATGGGATCTGGGACCTTGACAGGGCTCTCCAGGGGGACTTTGTCTGTGGGTGGTCTTACCTTCTAACCAATAGCCCTGAAACAGCCTTATTTGGCATGAATTTTTGCTGCTATTCTGTTGAGGGGTGACTGATCAGACCATCTCTCAAGTAGCATTCTGGCTTCTCAGGACCCTTGGGGCAGGGGAAGAATTTCATCTATCAGACGTGCTATGGAAATTATGAGAAGAAGACATCTCAGGGTGGCGGGTGATGGCCTTAGGCAGGTGCCCCTGGCTCAGGCGGGGAGATTTTGTAACCTGTGTCCTTTGTCCTCATGAATCCTTGAGTTTTATGAGCCTTGTTCCAGGTGAATGTGTTTAATGTATCTTAGCGTTTCTTTTTCTTCAATTTTTAAATTTAGGTTTTAGTGAGTCTTGAGTCCCTATTATTCTAGATGGCTTCAGTGCATTACATTTGTCTAACTTATGCTTCATAATTTTTTTTTTCAGGTGCGCTGCACTTATATCGTGGAGACTTTAGCATGGATTACCCAATTCAACATCATTAACAGCACTTGTGTTTAGGCATTGGCGAGAAAGGAAACCCTGGATACATGCAGCCAAAGTCTTCTTTCCTCTAGAATGTGATCATCTGTGGTCCAAAGTCTGTGTAGCACCAGCACAATTAAAAGCATCTCACAACACTTTCTGGATCCCTGAGTGGTGTTTAGAGTCTTCTAGTCTTCTGCACTGTCTATTCGTGATGTGATGGTTGCCACTGTCACTGACAGCAATGGAGAATTCATTGTCATTATTAGCATCCTGACTGAAGGTGTAGAGTGTTGAGCAGATTCTGTGAAGTAGTTGTTTACTTTGTGGTTTCAATCATTCATTTCTCTATTATTTGATGTTTGTACCTCATTCATTCATTCTCTAACTTCCACATGTCCTTCACTCATGTGCTCAGAACGGAAGCAGAACATTCTTCTGGGCCATCTTCCACCTGCATCCCCTTCAGCTTCCATCTAGGGACCAGGATCACAGTAAGTGACCCTTCTGCAGAGGGGTGGCTACAGGCTCTGGGGCGTGTATATGATGGCCACACACTGACAGGAAACTCTCCCTCTCTGCCCGAGAAGAACGTTTCTCAGGGCCAGGATGGGAACTTAAGAAACAGCGACTTCGTCATCGTGTACCCACCTGCTCCCTGATGCCTGTGCCCAAAGTCAAGTCCCATTCTGGCTTCTGTGGCTGTCAGCACCACTCCCTGCCCTGAAAGAGACACTGTGGTGACAGACATCCAGGCCGAGGAGCAAGTCTCCCTCCTCAGATCCTGGTATGAAAGCAGTCTTGGAGGACATGAGATTGGTAAAGGGGAAGGCAATGTTGTGGACTGAGCAAGGAAGACGTTGGTAACGTTATCTGGAGGAATTCTCAGACTGGAGGACTGGGTGGGCTTCCCTCCTCTACTCTGGGTTTCTGGGGATTTCACTTTCAGTGATTCCTGGTAGAAAGTTCATCCTTCCCTAGTCTGCCCATTCCCGTGTTTGTCACAGTGCTCATGGGTCAAGGTTTTCAGATATGGTTCTGGACAGCTCCTCTAATCCAACACAGTGGTGGTACTCTAAACTGGCTTTGGCCCTTTGCCACGTATATAAGATGTGTAACATCTCACCATCTGATAGGGGCATGCTTCTATTACCAAGGTGCCTCTATGTGCTGGTGAGCACAGCTGTCTTATTATCGGCCCTTGGTATGAGAGGACTCAGGTTTGAAGGCAGTAGCTCTTGTCCATGAATGCCATGCCCTTTCTGGTCAGTGCTGCTTGCAGGCAGGAGGGCCTTCACCAGTAACTCTCATTTTGCTTCTGGAAGGCCCCTGACCTGTTTCCATTTCCTAATATGCCAGTTGTTTATTACTTCATTCAGATAAAACCCTCTTTGTTCATTTTACATTTCTCCAAGAGATTGGGCTAAACACATCTGTAGCATAGTAGAAAATTTATGATACCATATCCTAAATTTATAAATATGTTAGGTGATTGAATTTTGTGCTAAAGTTGCAAAAGAGCTCCCTGGGGAGCTCCAATATCTTAGAAATTATGTTCACTGGAGGTGGTGTTCTGCCTGTGGCCTGTGTCTGACTGATTCTAGCTCTCACAGAATAAAAAGCACAGTCCCCATGTAGACTTCACTGAATCCGTGCTCAGAGCTGGGAAATGCCACCTTGTTTACTGATGAACTCAGCTTAGTAGTTTTGTGATGAAATCAGTATGTTGAAAGACATCTGCAGTCACATTGTCATTGCGACACTGTTTATAGTGGTCAAGATCCTGGAACAGCTTAAGTGCCCATCAACTGCTGAATGGGTAAAGAATTGTGGGCCATGTATAATAGGGTGTTTCTCACACATGAAAAAA